TATCTCTCTTTTTCTAAAACAGAATGAGAGAGATGAAAGCATTTTAAGTGTTTCGGAAATTCATCGTATCAAGTTCATGTATGGACTGAAGCCAAATTGAACTATGCCTTCCTGTTAGGTTTGCCAATGTTTGGCAAATTAGAAAGCTTATAAAATCACCTTCGTCTAGACTTGCCAAATGTTTGTACAATAAAGCGACTATGATCCAACTACGCTAAAGTAACAAGTACATATTTAAGTAAAAACTGTCGCACTCAGAGTTCTATTAGTAGCTATAAAGGAGTCACTTAAAGTATAATATTCTTATCGAAGAAATTAACGCGTTAAAAGTCAGCCCTTATAATCCAGACAGGCTTTCCTACTACTTTTACTTCCTGCAGCCAACTTCAAGACAGGAACGAAAATCTCCTACACGACCAGTTTACGTTTTCCGTTAGACAGGCAGAATTTATATAACTCGTCTAATCCAATCAATGTTTTTTTCTTATAGTATTATTTTTACAAACATATGTACATATTTAGGTAATAAATTATCAGAATAGTTTTTTTTTTATCACAAGGTGGCACGAGCGAGCGGCCACTTGAAATCGCTGAAATAGCGAAATGATCGTTGCCCATAGACATAAGCAATTGCATATGCGTTCCCTACCTTTAATAGACGGAGGAGAGGATGCACAGAAAGAAAATATTTTCCCTTTCCATGCATTCTCTCATCCGGAAAGTCCACTTCCACTTCCCATCCTTTCCTTATAAGAAAAAGGGTGGGAAGGGAAAGAGGACTAATTTTGACCTTCGGGACGCACACTCATCAGACGAAACGCGGAATTGCTTCCACTTGACGCCTGTCTTCTGTGTGGTCGTGGTATTTCACCGGGCGAGCCGGGCCAATTCGTGCGAAGATGTTAAAGCGGGCTCTACCACTGTTAAAGTATCTTCATCTCTTCTCATTTATTTATCTTTTTTGATTAATATTATGTTAATTGCAGTATCAAGATTTTACAATGTGATATTTAAATATGCTGATGATTAATTTAGGTTATATAAGAACTATATATAACAGTATTTTGACAGGACAATAAAAATTGGTACTGTTCTGCGTAGTTTCATTGTCAATTTACGCAACACGGCATTGAAGTGCGCGCGGCGATGCGGTTTGTGTGTTGACTAGATGCGTGTATCGTGTTAGCTTTAGGCTGCTTACATAGTTGGTAAAAATAATAAGTGGATATTGAAGATTATTTGTTTAATACCAAAAAGAAAACAAATTTAGACAGTTAATGGAGAAAATGATGTTATGATCAGAAACATGTAGTTTTTATCTGATTTAACAAATTTTTAGGATAATTTATCGTAATTGATTTGAATTGTTTTTATTTCTTAAATATAATAAGTTAAGACAACAGGTAATGCAGTGGTCGTTTTTTGGAGAATTTTATTCCTCTTTATTTCGAACGTGTATCTGTTTTGCAATGACAACTATTTTTATTTCATTGATTTATATTCTAATTTTGTAACGTTCCAAAAAGAATCTTAATTTGAAATAACAAAAGGTACCTCAATTCACAATGTTTCCAAATCTATCGTTAAATTGGTTAAGTGGAAAATAAAAAAAAAAACTATCACGCAATTGAAAATTATGTAACAGATCCGCACGACTTCACAAATCATGCACGATTCGATTTTGTGCGCATTCCTCAGTTCGCTTAGTTATTTATAGGTTTTTGTGAAGATAACCTCAAAATAAATTGACATATTTTGATCAATGATTACTACTTTTCACAACCCTAATACTAAAAGAACAAAAAGTTTTTTATATTCGTTTTTTTTTATTTTAAATTTTTTTTAATCGTTTATCTTACGTTGCCAGCCAGCCTTATCTTTTATGCTACAGCGAATGTGCCTGTAATGTTTGATGTAATTTGACTTTATGTGACACTTTTGACCTCATAGAGATATTGATGTGAATTTTAATTATTCTATTGTCGTTTCATTTGAGTCACTGTTTTATCTATGTGTTTCTTTTACGATGGAAGAGAGAGATAGCGTATTTTTTTGAGAATATTTTCATCGTCAAATGCTATGTAAACTTTTACGCGCTAACAAACTACACGTCATAGGTTCAAGCGACTCAGTACGCACGAAATTAAAAAAAAAACTTAATTAGCCTAGGTGTTCTTTCAGGCTATGTTCTACATCTATGGCAAATTTCAGAGTGATCAATGAAGTCTTTCTGAAGATACCTCCTAAAACATCCATCCATCTAAACTTTCGCATTTATAATATTAACAAGAAGTAAGATTGCAATATTGTTGTCTCTGTTTTTTTTTAAGAAAATGAGAGGAATGACATGTTTACATACAAATCTTTCCACAGTGGAAACCCATACATTGCGAGTCTTGCGTCGGTCAATAATCGATACCGTAATGGATTTAACGTTATTTCATTTGCAACTTTTTATATAGATAATAATAGGTAGCTTTTTATTGGAATATTTTAATTGAGTTTCTTTGTTGGATTAGAAGATACTTTATTATACGTTGGGTGGTCCGAAGAGTGGAATTAATTTAAATTGGCGTTTTTTTGACTGCTTTTAAAATGATTCATTTAATGATGGAGTCTTTTTGCTATGTTTTTTTATTGATGATAGACGGAGTGATGAGAAGCAGTTAGCCTGATGAAAAAAGTAACAATTGTCGGTCCTTAACACTAACATTTTCTTATTTTGATATAAAATAACATAAAGTGACTATTGTGAATGAACTTGAGGAGTTACATGTATTCGCTTTAAAGCGATTCCATAGCGAACTTCAAAAATGTATGAAACTGACGCGCGACAATCACGTGACTTATCGAAAGTTATTGTCAGTTATACATTTTTGAAGGTCGTTGTCGAATCGCTTCTGAGCGAATGCACTTTGTCTAACCTTCTTATTGGTAGTTAGAGTTATTAACAATCAGTTTTCTTTAAATAAAACTTTATATATAAGTTTAAGTACCTAACTACTATACTCACAGTTGTTAATAGTTTACTTTTGGTGGTTAAAGTTGAATGTACAGTTATTTTTAACAACTTAACCTTTAAACAAGATGCTTCACATCCTCCCGGGTCGTGTCCCTGCTGCATAGGTTGACATTTAACTGTAGGCAGTTTCGACATAGACCAAGCTCGATAACAGGATGTGTATACCATAAACAAATTCGTATAATACTTAGGACTGAGAAAAACATGGAGCGTCTAAATGCTAAAATACACATATACATATAGTAAATTAATTAATAATAATTGTCGCTTTCAAACTAGATCCTGATAAATATTGTGAGATTCTTGAACCGGATACTCGTTTTACTGTAACTAAACGAGTTGGCAACAAAGATAGGTAAAATAAGAGGAACTCTTGAAAATACAATTGATAAAAAATTAAAAACGGCGAGAAAAAGAAAATAGTTGAAAGAGTGAATTGAAAATAAAATAAAGAAACAAAACACTCGTTGTCTAGCATTAAATAAGTTAATTATATAAAACAATCTAAGATAGAAACGTATGTTTAGTTGCTTCTGTTTTAAATGTAATTTCATAATTATCAATTGCTTAATTAATTGCATATATAATTTCTCGAGTTATTTAGATGTTTTTGTTTAATAAATTACATTTGAATAAATATTTGTATGTTAAATCCGAGGAATTCGATCGTAAAATTCACGGAATCGTCGCCGATCATCGAACTTTTAATTATTGAAACTACTAATTTATCGCGACTTTACTTGGATTTTAATACAGAACTTGAGTTTATCAGTTACAAAATTAACAGTGTAGCGTTTTATTTACGCTGGAAAGTAATAAAATATTTTTCTTATTAGCATTTAAGCATATGCATGATAAAAATGGTTGGAATTTTTAATAACGCATATAGACAGAATTGAAACTATTTAATATAAGTAAAATTTTATATCTAAACAATTTTAGTAATCGGATATAGGATAAATATTTTAATCATCGGAATTGGATGAATGTATCTGAACTCATTTCTTGGTTTACATATTGATTTCTTGTAAGGAAAGGATTGGAATAAATTGCCTTCGTCAGTGTTTCCGTCCAAATGTGGTTGTCGTCAAGAATACGGTGAATAGGTTTACTAAGCCAGTGCATACCATCCTTCGAACATATCACCACTTACTATTAGGTGGGTTTGTGGTCAAGTACTAGTTGTTTTCGATATATAAATGTGGAGTAAAGGATGGCAACATTTTTAAATTTACTTTCTGCTACGTGGTAAAAATTCTATTGATAGCAACTTTTGTTATGAATTATATCTTTTATTTAAATATCAAATCTCCACAGGATGTTTCAGTAAAGAAAATGTGATTTACATGCAATTTTATCATCAAATTGGTGTTGAAATAACCAAGCCTATTTCTATGATTACCTTTTCACATATCTCTAGATATTAGTTTAGATAAACATCAAAATCAATTTATAACTTTATTTTAAGAGCGACGTCTTCAACACTATAATTATTATTTTATCCAGTGTAATATTAGGAATAGCTTTATAACATCGATGTTTGGCAAAACCATTCGATTTTCCATCGAGCAGACACTCTGATTACTCGATTTCACAATATAATTGTCGATGTACCGAAATCGTAAAAGTCACCAGGCGTGTCAAAAAGAAATAAAATAAATTCAATGACATAATGTGGACGTGATTAGTGATACCATAATGGTGTAAGATTGTGATGACGTAAATATTGAGAGATGAGAAGATAATGGTGTTTCAACAACTAATTGTAAGTCTAACCCAAAGTTTATATTATGCCAGTATAGTAAGACAGTAGCACTGGCCTGCCATAGACCAGCCAATTAGTGCTTACATTATGCCAGGTGTATGCCAGCTGATTTTAAGAATTATCCTACTGTACTGGAATCATGTAAACAATCCATCTGCGGCATTTCTTATAATCAAGCAGTAAAAGATGAATGTAAATCTTTTGAAAACTGACCTGTTAAGTTCCTTCAGTTTAGTGGCGGCTTGTAGAGTCGCGTAGCCGTAGCGAGAGTATCTGGTGGAGTCATCTGAAGGTGCATTGAAAGCTGCCACGTAGCGAGCTGGATTGGTGTCGTCTAACCACAAGCCTGAAGAGTAACATTCTCTTAGAAGAATTGAAAGAAGATTTTTGCCATATCAAGGAAGATATCAAACACCTAAGTTCGCTATACAATTGAATTTATATAATGAATCTTTCTAATGATATTTGTTAATTACTAGAAAAAATATGTGTGTTAGTGATAAAACTCACTCACCCATAGAATATAACTTCGGCTCTAAAACGCTGTACAATTCGTGCATCTTCTGCATTCCATATTCAGCAGCTTCCAACACATCTTTGTTTTTATTTATCGATGTATCACTGGCCACTTGTTTGTCATTAAATTCTGAATCTAAATCATATTCATCTTCAATCGTATCTTGATCTATAATTGGTAATTCTTTATTTGCATAATCTTCATCGTCTTCATCTGTTAATTTTGTTTTATCAGTTGAATTCTCATTATTTATGTTACCTTTGTTACAGTATTTAAGAACTAGAGTTGATATGTTCTTAGTTTCTGATATTGAATGGTTTTTACTATGATTCTTTTCAATTATTGTTACGCTGTGAAGTTCATTATTTATTGAATTGTTTAACTTTGGCATTAAATGTTTTAATACTTCGATAATATTATGTTGAGTGTTATTATTATTTGTATTAGGTTCAATTGTTAATATTTCTACATAATCTGGTTTACTTATAGATATGTTAGTTTTTTTAATGTTAGATTTGTTCGTTGAATTTAATATTGGATGCATATCAAATTTATCTTCGATACCGCTTTTAATTGTTGTTGTATTACCAGTTTTATTATGATTCTCGTTTGTTTTTGTATAAGAAAGATCGTCTTGAGGTACTTTTAATATAAATGCTTCATTAAGTTTACTTTCATTTTCATTTATTTCTAAAGACATGTTATTTTTTATTCTATTTATCGATGCTATTATGTCATTTATTAATTCTTCCTGTATTGATATATATGTACTATTATATGTCGTTAGATTAGTTACTGAGTTTATTATGAATTTTCTTTTATCCTCATCTTTTAATGCAAATGGATTTTCCGTATATTTCCTTTGTATTCTAAATATATCTTCAATTATTTTCTTGAAAGGGCAGCTATTGTTCGTATCCTCTGGTGGGGCATTACTTTGTTCTTTTGTCCCATTTGTCAGCAGTGGAAGTAGTAAGAAAATGTATTGGTACCTAGAAAAGATAGTATTGAGGTTATGCTTAACAATAATTTATGCTATATAGTTTTCGCCAGCGACTCCATCCACGCGGGATTAATAAAAAACTTAATCAGTAGCCTATATGCTCTTCTCGGATATCTTCTACATCTATGCCAAATATCAGCGAGATCTATTCAGCCGTTTTGGAGGTACCAACCATCTAAACATTCGCATTTATAATATAAGTAAGAAGTAAGATAAGAATAAAGGCGTATGTATTTTTTTATCTTATAACATGAGCATAAGGATAAACTGTAGGCATATACTAGATTGTAGTCCACAACAATATTTTCGAATGGTGGTATTAGATTCCTCGACCTTGTGATAAGATGCCTGCAATTTTAACTATTGGGCTATTGGTGCTTTTACTTTTGTGTCTCTTTTCACGCTTCTCGTGTTTGTTAATTATGTTAGGAAGCGACATTCACTCAACATCAAGTTAGTTTGTTTACCAGTTTCTAAATGCAGTGAAAACTTTTCGTTGCCAACCTCTTTACAATAAAACAGGTATCTCACGCATGTAGTAAATATGTAATTATAATCATGCACCGACAAACTTTCTCGGTATGTTTGCACGTAAGGAAAGCCAACTTTCCCTCTTCCGATTCAAGGGAAACCGATAAGTTAAAGCTTTGAAGAAAGCTTTTGCGAATTCTGTCCGAATTTGTATTTTGGTGGTAGCTTATTAAGCTTTCTTGTCGTAAGAGTGAGACAAAAATTATATATTTAATTACATTGATCGTTAACACCAGATCCTTAAGGTGACAAAGAATAAAAGACATATGAGATTGGAATAGACTTAGGTCTCTAAGTCTATAGGTCTAGATGAAAAAATTACTTATGAATTAAGTAAATACTTAAAAGACTGGTTTATTATTGTACTAACCTGAACATTCCCATTTTTGACATCATTACTGTTTACATAATTTTATTGCACGTAACTAATTAATTTCACCGCAAACAAAAACTTCGTTCTAACTTTAAATTTTTTATTCTTTGACAGTTTTATATTTTGAGACTTCGAAAAACCAAGATGGCGTTAGTTTGTTAGGTTTCGTAAAGTTATTGTTAGTTTTACAGTTTGTCTTTGTAATGCTTCGCGGTTCCCGTGGCGTAGTGAGGCTTTGCCGGGCGCGGCGGGACTAGCTGTTATGTAAGGCGGGAGGCTGCGCTGGACGATGTACTGTTAGGAGACCTCGCCTCGTGCGATGATCTCGACTTCGCGTGCTTGTTTTGCACTAAAATGAGCTTTTTAGGATGCATTTACACCGTACAAGATGGCATCGAGATATTTATAATATAAATTTATTAATTTTAAAAAAAAATTGTTTGTATAAATGTTCGTCGGTGTATTTTATATATGTATTGTGGTTGTAAAGATTTACTGAGTTAATAATTGTGTAAAGCTTAACATTAGGCTTTAGACTTGTGATAAAAAAATGTCATGTCTTGTACTTACTTATTACAAAGGCATAATTATAAGTTATTAAGTTATGTATAGTGTAGGTCAAAAATGTGTAAAGCATAATTTTAACCTTTTAATTTATAGTTTTCGAAAATTTGCTATCAATGTCACTCGTTCGGTGTAAATATGTTAGCATTACAGGACGGTGTAACGGACGGCCGGCGCCTCAGGTTAAATTAGACGGCGGCTTCCGATTGCCGGACGCGGACGATTTTGGGTGCGGCCAAAGACCCCGTAGCGCGAACACAGCGCCCCCCTGCGGCAACATTATTACGTAGATGTCATTCTCAATCGCCGCGGACATTTTTTGTGGGAATCAAACACATTGTTTGGTAGTCGGTCTTATCGAGGATGGGCGATGTAATGTCGACATTAGAGAATTTAAATTGTTGATGTCACCGATCAATTGTGAACTACGACAGGTTATATATATTAATTAAACAATAATTTGAAATTAACAAACTCATTCAACAGTCTATTATTTATGAATTCTTAGTAAAATTATTATAATAAAATATTATTCTTATTCAAATTGGACCTTCCCGTTTTAAAATGTCGAATGATTCAATTAGTTAACAGTAATATAATCATAAACAATTTAATTTTTTTGTGTTCCTAGTTCGATTATAGATTGTCAAAGTTCACACATGGTCGATAACATAAAGATATTATGTGTGAGATTTTAATGAGTTGTTATAAAACCCTAGTTTTAATGATCAAAATGTACTTATAATTCTTATAATTATGGATTTAGCTGATGGTTTTAAAATGACATAGATGTTATTTAAAACGGCAAGACAGGAAAGTGGTACCTGTAAAAGGTGATTGTGGGAACTTGGAAAGAAAATTATAGGCTCTTTTATAATTATAAACAAAGTTGTTCTAGTTACTTTGTAATAATTCATGTAGAATATATATTCTATAGGAATTAGTTTTATTATTGGTGATATTAATATTCTAATAGCAAATCTCTGATTTTATCATCATCAGCTCACTATACGTCCCCACTAAGGGGCTCGGAGCCTACCCTAAGTTAAGGGTGATTAGGTTATAGTCAACCACGCTGGCCAAGTGCGTTTTGGTTGACTTCACACATATCTTTGAATCACAATGTTTTCCTTCACCGTAAGAACGTCGGATAAATGTACATATGTAAATCGGATATCGAAAAACATATTGGTACATGGCGGGACTCGAACCCAGGACCTGCAGATTGCAAGCCAAGTGCTTGGCCCCTGAGCCATCTACGCTCATTTATGTACATTTAATTAATAATTATTTACAGACAATTGTTCAATCTGTAAAAGTTTGTAAGATTTTAACAATTTGTTGTGAAGTAATATTTAGTATAAATAAAAAAACATTGTGAAATCAACTAGAGACGACGGTCGTTTTCAAACTAATTGTTGTTATTCAATTTTTTTGCGGCACGATGTTTTCTTCATTTCACACAAAAATCAGACTTCAATAAAATTCTGTAACGTCAAATTAATTTTATCCGTTTTACAATGACAAGCGATTTCGACTGCATCTAAACGTTTCTTTTGTCCTGTCTTTAATTTGAACTTGGAACGCGAAAGACGGATTTTTGAGTAATGTTTTTGTTGTTTTGTTTAGTAAACATGAGTTATATAGTTGTCTTTGTTTTTTCAACGAGAAACGTAGAGATGAAACGATTGCTGGCCCGCGGAAATTCAACATGGATCTAGAACTTACTCTCTTACTCTTTGTCTGCTGTAGATTAACATACTCTTTGAACTTGCTTTAAAAATTACACTAAACGATAAAATATGAATATTTTTTTGTATTAAAGGTGAACATTATGTAAGATTGCATATCAATTGCCCGTAGATCCTTGAAAGATTACAAGGGAAAGCGCACGCGCAGGTCAACCGGCACGTAATATCAATATGGGCTACGGTCATGTTGCGACATAGAGTAATTAATTACAGAAGCGGCACACGTCGTCGTTTGCAATGGTCGCCTTGGATGTGCCATAGAACACTTAAGTACTAGTAGATTCCAATAGCTACATTAAATATCATGCTCACTAAAAAGTCGCTTAGTGTGCTATTGCTTTGTTTCTGTTTTGTTCTGACGATATATTTCATAAAGAGATTTCTGACTCGGAAATCCACGCAAAGTTAGGAAAAACTAGTCGCTGTCAAGGGCTAGTTTGTTATTTGTAAAAAAACTACGCAGATATTCTGATCGCCATCTTTATCAGAGCAATTTCAGTACGCTACGGAGGAGGGGAATAAATAAAAAGAACTTTTAGGTTATTTTATATATTTGAAAACTATCAAAATAATTATTTATTTCATAAAAATCCAACGTAATTAAACAAAAACAGTAATAAAAAAAATATTTTTTTTTTTAAATCTTTTTAGGTAACCTATACTTGATTATTTCTATTTTCATTGTACTTAAAATGTATACAAAAATTATTTTTATGAACATGTCATTCAGAAACAGTTTAATTTATTTTCTTTTTAATTAAAAACAATAACACATCATAATTTGCAAAGTATGAAATTAATAAACAGTCGAAATATTTAATAAAAATGAACGTTTTAAATTGTACTCATCTCTAACAACAATAACGAAAATATGACAAAATTGTAATTTAGTAAAAATTAACATAAAGTATTTTCTTAAGCTTAAAATATTTTGAAAGACATAGTTGGCGGCCATGTTTATTTTATAAACATTTTTATTCAGGTATCTAATACAATCAGGTAAAATTTTATGTAGTAAATAATTTTATAAAAGATAGTTAAAATAGGAGTTATATCTTTAATCTAAGTTTAATAATATAAATCTAAAAAAATATATTTTATGCACATTTATTCCTGTCTTCCGAGATCACTCCATAGCTTCCATTATATTTCCTCGTATCACATGATCCTAGTTTTCATTCTGTAAAAAAAAGTAAGCTTTGGTATCAAAAATATTATTTTAATTATATAAGTATGTCATAAGTCAAATATTATGGTGCCAAATTAAATTAATTGTAATTAATTATTGATGAAATCGAAAATCAGTAAAAAAGGTGAAATAACAAAAAAAATATTGTGTTAATTAATTAATTTAATTCTTAAAGTATTGAATTGCCATCTAGTGATGAATAACTAAACTAACTGCTTAATAAGTGCGCCATCAGTAAGTAGCTCCATCTAGGTTTTCTATTTGACACCGCTTTAATTCTAAATGTATTGTATTGCCACCTAGTGATGAAAAACTAAACCAAAAACTAAATTTTAAAATTAGTTTTTAGTAATAGCGCCATCTAGGTTCAGTCTTTGTTAACACTTTAATTTTAATGGATTGAGTTGCCATCTAGCGATGAATAGTTAAACTAAGTGCTTACTTTTAATTGCTCCATCTGTTGTTGGTATGATAAAACGTTAAGATCAACTTTAAAGAAATAATCAGACCTGTTCGCTAGATGGCGTTAGATGTTAGTGTGTCCGCCGGACTTCCCGCTCGGCCTTCTCCTGGCGCTTGAGGTCATTGATCGCCGTCACGCTGCCGAACAGCACTTTCGCCGTCACTTGCTGCAAAATGCACATAATTGCACATCAGTGACAATGTTTGTAACAGACAGGTCAATTAATACCACAGTGACAATAATGACTAAGTACATGTTTAACTAAATATTTTATGCTACAGTTTAGACATTTAATATTTAGATTTACATTTTATCGCAAGCTAAAATGAAAACATATTTGAAAAACTATGTATGTACCATGTATGTACCAAGATTTAAAGATGTTTACAAGACACTCAGGTAAATTGCCGGTGTATCGACAATATTATATTTGTGCGATAAAAAATAACATAGTGGGATTTAACTATCCTGTGGCATTTAGCTCATAAGACCAAAAGTTGTTTTAAACACCTCTATCTTAAAGTAGATATGATTTTACATTTAATGTAAACGCATTTCTGGAGGATATAAGCAGCTTCAACAGTATTGAAAGGCAATGAAGTCACGTTTTTATAAAATTGCCTCGATGTAATAAAGAACCCTAAATATTAATTGAGGATCAATTTCGTCCAGGTGGCGCTAGCGGCGTGTTAGAGTTTCAGATGCCTTTATTGCTTTAAGCTGCTACCTGACCGCCATAATTGAAACGGTCGGCCATATTGGAATTTGTTGCATGTTGTTTTTTTAATATTATATTAAAGTGTAATTATTTAATTAATCACAGAGTACGCGATTACTAAAAAGACACAAATGAAAAGCTTAATTTTCTAGTTTTTACTGGTAAATTTCTGGTTGAGATATAAAAAAAACATGACGTTGCAACGTAAAATGGCGGGAAACGTGCATGTCGTGTAGATCGGTCGTGGTTAAAAATTGCAGATAACTCGTGACGCAGCAAAATTATGCAGTTGACATGACAGGTAACAAGATAAAGACGATACATTTTTGCTCTGCATTAACAGAAAGTTTAAACACGACATGTAATTTGCATGTCCAAGTCGACACAAATGACAGATTTAAAAACAACACCAAATAAATTATTATTAACATTAACTCGAACATTTTACGCTTACTGTACGTCGCCGGCGATTCTGCTCACGCAGAGTAAAAAAAAAACTTATGTCCTATATGTTTTTTCAAGGCTGTGGCAGACCACATTGCGCTGAAATTTCATGCAGCCATTTTGGAGATACTTTCTAAAAAATATCCATCCATCTTAAACATTCGCATTTATATATTAGTAAGAGTAAGATTATATCTATGCCTTGTATTACGACTGTCTTTACAAACTTTTGAATCTAGTAAGATTTTCCTCAAATTCAATGTTCTATGTAAACGTATATCGTCTCTGATTGATCTTTCATTTTCTTTGAAGAAACGGAGATAACAATTATATTTTGTTGAGGTGTTTCGTAAATGAAAACGGACAATACTTAGCACTAATTTAATAAGTTCTCTATAATAGGACTTTTAACAACATACTTTTTTTATTTTACTTATCAAGAAAAATTACCAAGCGTTACCCGATAGCAGTTTTGACAAATTTCGTAATTTGTTCTACCGGCTATATAAGTATAGATCTGTTTTAGACCACGAAGGATTAAATATCTGGGGCATTGGACGCGAAATTCATAGTTCAAGCCATTATATTGAACGTTTAAAATATTTTCGACAAGAGTTTTATTTAAAACTGTTATTGCCAAAGGTCGAGTGTCACGGTATTATCCTCTTAAAAAAACAAAAGAAGAAAAATTTATATGGAAGCGTACATCGATAGGGGTAAGTCTACGTAGAGACATCTCTATTCAATTGTGTGGAAGGTGAAAAGGAAGAAGATGGAAGTGAAAAGGAATGTGGAAGGAAGGATTAAGAAAGGTGCGACAACTTAATTGATGAATCGTCGATATGAAGGTTGAAGGCCTGGTGTAATGTGACATCAGTACATGCAATTGAGGAAAGGGAGATGCTGAATAAAAAAATACAAAGGTAATTGCAAAATAAATACAATGCTGAATATAAACATCGAATTGATTTGCTGCGAAAAGTATTGCGAGAAATATTGCGTCCATAATTGCCGAGGTTTTAAGTATGATTAATAAATAAAGTTTGTAGCACACAGACAGAAATACAGATTCAATTTATCGTACAACTTTTATAGTTATCTATGTTAGTAGAGCCTTTACTTATTTTTAATATTATAAGATATCAATCTATAGGTTGGGGGAATCTAAAAGTGTCTGAAACATTTTAAGTCGTTAAGTGATCACTAAGGAGCAAATCTAAACTAAGATTCTGCTCAAGTTACCATTATACGAGTCTGAGCGTGGCTGCAAAGAAGAATCATTAAAGAAAATCGTAAATATAAGCCTGATTAAATCTTCTTGAAGTATCTCCACATTTAAACATACGTAGTTAATTGAAATCCTTTAAAAACAAATATAAAAACGGATCTGATTAACTTTGTACCATACGACAATTAAAAAAAATAAAAACGCGAGCAAATAAATTCCCCGAAATCCGAACGGCTCGAGTCGAATTGCACTGACTTAACTGTTACTTTATACGGCGCCGGGGGACTGAGGGGCGGGGCGCGGGGCGCGGGGCGCGGGGGAGCGCTCCACATTCTGTAATTATAACATCGCTAAAGTCCGATCAGCTTATTTGGCCCGGTGAGACAAGCGCTGCAATCGCTGTCAGTTTAATCAGAACATATGTAAAAACCTTACAGAAGCTTAGAAAATGACAATGAAGTCAGTCCGACAAGTGACTTATGGTAGTTTTTGACAATGACAAGGGACGCTCATAAGGTATTGTAATTTAGTATCAGATATAGTACCGGGTCAGATAAGTTCGACGCGTTATATATAACGGAATGCGAGTAACGAGCGCTTGCGCACAAACTTTTGTGTAAGGTTCGAATTCAGTTTTGACTTTCGCCAAATATGCTTTATTTTACTTACAAAAGACAAGGTATTCTTTTACAAAATATAGATCTACAAAGTAATACTATCTACAATCAATAGGAAAGAATGTACTGGCAACCTTTAACAAGAGAAAATTGGCTAGTACAGTCAGCTGCATAAATATGTATACATTTAATAAACTTCAGGAATTCGTATATCCCTTCGGTTTCCAACATTTGTATCAATCTTAGCTTCTGATCAATACATGTAATTGATTAATACACGTAAACGTATTATTGAAACCAAAGACCTATACAAGTTTCTTAAGTATTATAAATGTATCCATATTTATGGAGCTGACTGTACATGATAAAAGGATTGAGTTTGCGAGACATTATTAAAGAAATACTTACGTGATGCTTAATACTCGTATTGTCAAGTCAAATTATACTTATTGTCAAGATTCAGATTATATAAGGTATAAGTATATAGCAAGTGCATTTTGTTATTTCTTCAGCTTCTGGTATTAATGGTAAAATAATGTTAACGTATATTACTTTTTATCGTCGTAATTTACATGCATTAAATTCTACAAAGTGTGATCGTTATCGTAAGAAATATGATAAGTTCAGATCATTCTGTTATACCTTTAAAATAATTAAAATAAATTGAATATGTTTTTAAACGCAATTAATGTAAATTAACTATGTATATTTGCCTGCTTTATTGTGGGTTTTGTTCGTTCCAATATCAGCCTTTAACCTGAGGTCCTAGCACGAATATACGTGATAAAAAGTGGAAGTGGACTTTCCGGATGAGAGGATGCATGGAAAGGGAAAATATTTTTTTTTCTGTGCATCCTCTCCTCCGTCTATTAAAGGTAGGCAACGCATATGCAATTGCGTATGTCTATGGGCAACGGTCACTTCGCTACTTCAGCGATTTCAGGTGGCCGCTCGCTCGTTTGCCACCTTATGATAAAAAAAAAATCTATTAATCTGTATATCTATTTTTAACATAAGTTGACCATGATGTTACGAAACCGCGTGTCGCAAATATACCTAACTAGCAATCGCCTGCGACTCCGTCCGTGCGGTATTAAAATATTAATAATTAGTAACCTATCTGTTCTTCAATACTATGTTTTATATAATATATATGTCAAATGTCATCGATATTCGTTCAGCAGTTCTGGATACCTTCAAACAAACATCCATCCATCCATTGCATTTATAATATTAGTAAGATAAGAAGTAAGATTTAGTCCTATATGTTTTTGAAGCTAAGCGGAATTACTGATTGCTCTTAGTTAAGCAAAGGAAATATTAAGCTGGAATTGATGCAAATAACAGACAGGTAATATGAAGCGTAAATCAATATGTTATTTGGTACATAAAGTTATGTTCGTAACAAGTGTTCTTATGTATTATCAGAAACGTAACTCATTGCGTTCATAAATTATTTATATATAATCTAGAGACGTGGGACCATTTCGAAACATTCTGTCTGTTGATCGCAACTCGTAGGGATTTGCGCCCCGCAGGACGAATGCGCTGAATTTTGCGCAATGCGGACCTCAATCGGGTATCCTTTTTGCGCATGGGATTCATTCATTAGGAATTTAAAATGTTCCCTTTTCACAATTTATTTTTTTCAATGTAACTATTTAACTTTAGTATTATAATGAATTACTGTGTGTCATTAATTAATGGTTTTCTGAGTTGAATTGGGTTTTTTAATGTCACTTATGTTGCGACAAAAATATGGAAATGCGCCGGGCAATATTCGAACTGCGTAGGTCAGTTAGGCATAGCATATATTACCTTCTTGCACCAGCCAGAGTTATTTTATAGTACTTAATTATCTTGGTTTCTTTAGCTCAATAATGTACAAAATGTTGTATATACCTGATAGTTGTTGTTAGAGTTCTTGTTGGGCGGCGCGTACCCCCGACCGCCGTAGCCCGCGCCGGCCCCGTGGTACAGAGTGTTATTATTGGCGTCGCGCGTCGTCGCCGCTGTGTACGTCGATTTGCAGTTTTGTGACATACTGTATCTGGAATTATTATAAAAGGCGGTTTAAGGATTTAACTTTATAAGAAGCAACGTTGTTACTATGCGTTTCGACTACTACTCTGTCCTTTTTGATAAGAATAGATGTATGTTTCTATAACAGGCCAATAAAAGTTCGCAGTGTAATCTCACCTTAAAACCTAGTGTGCCGAACCCAAGTGACAGGAATATTATGGGTAGAATGGCACACTAAAATGGATTCTCTTTGTCAAAAGCAAGTAAATAGACTATCGTTTTAAACCATTGTAGATGTACGGGACTTATTTTTAAATGAGTTTTCTTGTTTAAATATGAACATTTGGTCTATACTGTTACAAGAATTAAAAAAATGCAGAAATCTGACTGGAGTAGTCAAAATAAGATGTCTGAATATATACTTTTAGTTAAGAAATCGTGCGTAAGTTTTGCGACATGTTAAAATGTATACCAAACAAATAAAACAATTAAGTGTTTTTGGTATTGCTACAGATTTAAGTATCAGCTGTATTATTGTATTACGTAATTTCGAAAGTCATAATCTCGATTTTAATTTTTAATGGCGGACCTTACAATCGTACGGGATCGCATAATATTTAATCATTTATTCTTTTTATTGTATTCATTGAACTAAATACTAAACAAAAGATACATTTAAACTTTGTTTAAAAACATTTTAATTTGTATTTTATCTTTAAGTTATCTATCAGTGGACGTCCATCACCAAATCTTCTGTACAAAAACATATCGCTATCTCTGTTCTGTTTATAGGGAAAGAGAAGGATGTTACCATGTTTTGGCAGTAGAAACCCTCAATAAGAATAGTATTAAAAGTATAAAACAAAGCATTTATATGCTCTTCCAGACTATGTTCTACATCTATGTCAAATTTAATTGAGATCCGTTCAGCCGTTCTGGAGATATCTTCTAACAAACATCCATCCATCTACCTAAATATTCGCATTTACAATGGTAATATATATTTATCACACATCCATATCTAAAATTACAGGTAATTCTTTCAAACTTTTAATTTGCATATAAAAATGTTCTTATTAATATAAGCATCGAAAATATAGAGTTGTGTTCGAGGAGTGTGTCGGCGTGCAATTAAAAAAACCGAACCTGTCCAAAAGTGTAGCAAGTTTGGTAGCCGGGTACTGTTATTAACAGTAAATGTAATACAAGATGGACAATTAAACTTTGTGACCCAAGTGACGACCGAATGGCGGATGACAAGAGATAATGTTACTTAAAAGTACATATTATATTATGTTTTTTATGAAACAACTGATGGTGTCATTGAGAAAAAAAGAGCGATATGTTACGCGAATTATGTATATGTCATAATGAGTGACATATTTTTAGAATAAAACTTCTAAGCCGAAGTATTTTCAAGGTCATAACGTTTGTAACATTTCGTTACATGACAGAGAAGGAAGATGTAACATAGAAAGGAGGAAAAGAGATGTATATATACGTAATAGTACGCCTTATGCGTATGTATAATATAACAACTGAGGTTTATTGTTTGTTGTATTCTAAATAAAAAAAAAACTAAATGTTTTTTTTTCAATTTTTTAATTACGATTTTTTTATATCTGACATCTCTTATGACTTGGTCGTAACGAGACTAGGTTTTAGAGGCCATTTTATTGCATATAGCAACACTGCGGAAATCTTTATTTTGTATTAAATATTTGCGAGCAAAAGAACTTCCTGCTCTCCTTACACAAAGCAATACTTCCCTGATAAAGGTCGCGCCACACTTGCATTTAATTAATCACACCTTTACTAATTAATAACAATTAAAGACATAATAATTTTATTAAACTGTATATTATATCTATGTTCTACAATAAGAAATATTTGAAATTCTCCCGCGACAATTCATTAAGATTAACTGACGGATATTGTCGGCTAACATGAATTACTGTGATAATTATAAACATTATGTTAATTTTTCCATTTAAAGAACGAATGAATAAGTCATTAAACGCGAAATGAGCGCATACTCGTTAAGGTTCAAACGAGACAGTTATATTGAGTCAGAACGTACACATATAGAATGAAATATTTGTGTTAAAACTTAAGTATAAATATTACTCCATTAAAACTACTTAAAAAAACTAATTTCGGCACATTCTTTTTGACCGTTTTAAAATGGAATATACAATATCACTAGCACCCTGAATCCCAAGTCTTTTTGGTAACAGTTAAGAAGAGAAGAATTCACCGACGCGATCGATTGTCAGGCTTTTCATGTTTCATGGTCCACTCACGAATCGCTAGTGGGTCTCAGTCCTATGGAAACTCCTGTTTTATGTAAGCGAATAGTTTTTAATTTACGCTTCCGCTTATGTTTAAGACCACTGTCGTAAGAGTATACATTTGTTGGCGCCCTGTCAAATTGGATTACTTATCCGTTTTCTTTTCGTGAGGCGCGTCCGTGCTTTAGTCGTTTTTACTGGATCGTTAAACATTTTGTATTACATTCAGGTTCAATACAATTAAGGGGTGTGGGAGGGGGCAATTATAGTAACAAAGCTAAATAAATCAGGCTCATAAATTGTTTCGCGTTTCATGTTTATATTTATTAAGCCTTTATTACTTTGGCTTTATAAAGAATTTACTTCATTTAATGTTAATAAGATGCGGAATGGATACCTAAACAAATTTTGCATTTTATTAAATGCTGGCGACCGCGTGCAGAATAAAAAAAAAATATAGTAGCCTATGTGTTCTTCCAGACTTTGTTTTATATTCAAGCCAAATTTCATCGAGAACTGTTCAGCCGTTCTAGAGATACCTTCTAACAAACATCCATCCATCTAAACATTCGCATTTATAATATTAGTAAGATATGTTGTGTTACCGCTGATATTATGATATAGTAATAAAGCAGTATGGAGATACATATTTGGCATTTTAGTTACGTTTTCTTACTTAAGTAGTTACATTACTTTACCTAGTTAAGTAATTTCTATACTAAATTTTCTAGAAAATTCTGTAAGTATAATTAGAAAATGATAGCAGAAAAAAAAGCTCCTCCTTTCGTAATAAATAAGTTTATATCATTAATAATGGATATAAAAGTGCAAAAAGTGCGAAATCCTATCAGAGTTAACGCATGGAAGATTTCTCAGCCAACCGACCGCACCAGTTTGTGTGGAAAGGTCTTAAATGTGTGCAATTCACACTTCGCTCTAGATTACATACCTTGTTTTTTTGTTTACGTCGCTTTTAGATTACTTGACACCATTTAGGGATTTAAAATAATCGTATTAAGTTCCCTTTTTCTTTGCACGCAAAAGACAATTAAAATCGGCAACGATGAATAATAAAAAATATCCACTTTATTTCGAATTTTATAAGGTTTATTATTAAATGAAGTTTAAGGATATAAATATAAATTTGGCAATAACAGACCTACTATTTATTAAGTCGTGAATTTTAAACTTCGTAGTACATCTAAACCAACACTATTGTTATCACTGTTTGTCACAAAGAAAATGAGAGGGATGGAAATATTTTAAGACCGAGACAATAACAGTGAAGACTAACCGTCCACAAATACCCTGACTGAAATGCTTTATTCGCTGCCTTTTTATATTGCATCAAAAATACGTCAAAGCAATAACTTCCGGAAAAACATGATAACATGTTTTGCAAAACAAAATCGAGTTTTAATCGTTTTTTTTTACTAAAAGCGCTACAATAATACAACTCAAAATCCCTTGGCAACGAAACTTTTTGCATAACTTTATTCCTATTTTTATAAATGGTATTTTTTAAATATGCGGCCTCGCAGTACCTTTCAATGTAATAAGCGATTATTAACTGCTTAAAAATAAAACTATAAATAAAAGGACGAATAGGATCTTATATGAAAATACGATTACATTTACAGTCTTTTGAAATGAATTCATCATTTAATATGCAAGTTTTTGTTTCTAGCTTCCCATGGTGGGTGTAGTTGCGGAGGCCTAATGTTAATCCTCTTTCACTTCCCACCTTTTTCTACTAAGGGGGAGTGGATTTAATGGAGGAGAAACGCAAAGAAGGGGAAATATTCTCTTTCTGTGCGTACCCTTTTCCGTCGATTAAAGGTAGGCAACGCAATGCACTTGCCTATGTTATTTTTCTATGGGTAGCGGTTGCTTCACTATTTCGGCAAATTCAGATGGTCGCTCGCTCGTTTGCAACTTAATATAAAAAGTGCTGTCTTAAAAGCGAGCTCTACTGAACTATTTTGTTAACTTTATTAATCGCTTTAATATTCCTTTTATAAAATAACTTTATAGCTGTTTGTTTTTAACCACAGTTGTGGTTAAAAAGGCCACAATGTGACATTTCCGCAAATCATTCGTAAATATTTGAACATTTAAAAATGGAGCGTTAACTCTATTTCAATTCTATATTTAAATGATTTTCTTGTTGATTATGATAGGCAATTGTTTCTAATAGATTATTTTGTGTTATAGGAATCTTGATCGAATAATTTGCGGTGTGCGGTTTAATAGTACGTAGTGTTAATTAAATTCGGGAATCCAGTATTGATTATTAGGTTTCTATTGTGGTTTATTGTGTATGTATATTATTGTGGTCAACTCTATAATTAATATAGAAAAGGCATAAAGATATAGGCATAACTCACTTTCTAGAAGTCATCATCATTATCAGCTTACTACGCCCCTACGGAGGGGCTCGGAGCATACCCTAAATCAAGGGTGACTAGGCCATAGGCAACCACGCACGTTCAGTGTGTGTTGACTTCACACAATTTTAAATACGATGTTTTCCTTCACCGTAACAATGTTGAATAAATATACATATGTTAATCGAAAAACATATCGGTACATGGCGGGTTCGAACCCATGATTGTAAATCAACTGTTAACCTCTGAGCCACCGACGTTCTAGAAGTTTCTACAAGCTATTATCGTACATTGAAATGGTAAATTATGGATTAATTATAATTTCTTATAAAACTTGGTTCAAGTAACTT